CAGAAAAGAATTTTTAAGTTGAGACACTTTAAACATAGACTTAAATAGAATGGGTAGAAGAAAGAGAATTCAAAAGGAAATACAAGGCATACCTGAGGGTATGAACATGGGCTCCTCAAGTGAGAGTTGCGGAGAGTAATACACACCCACGTGTGGGCATGGGACAGAAGTAATTGTCTTAGTAATAATTCTGTGTACCATTTTGGTGATTCTTGGGTTGCATCTCAAAAGGTTGCTAAGAAACATACTTTATTTCCTTTCCTTTCTCTTTGATAAGTGAAATATGTGAGCTCTGGCGACATCGGAGACGAATTATAACCTGACAGGGCAAAAGCAGGAGCTATGAGGGTTGCACAAGGGGGTTAGAACGTGTCCTTTTCCTATAAATGGGGCTTCTAGTGAGAGTCCTATGTAATTACAGGTTTGCATCAGGGAAAGGGGAAAGGCCTTAAGCTGTTGCTAACTGCTCTGGAGCTCATGCCTCACTGCTGGTGAGACAGGTCAGCTAGGTTCCAGGATGAAGGCTCCTCTCTCCTTACATCTCCAGTCCCCTCCCCTGCCCCCACCCCATCTTCCTCTCCTGCCTCGCCTACTCTTTTCACAGCAGGGATCCATCCACCAGAGAAGGCTGGTGGTCCTAGGGGCTTCACCCAGATCCCCTTACCTCCTCGTCTTCTTGCCCAAGGCCCTTCACAGCAGGGTTACCTTGGGTTGGGTTACTCAAAGTGTTCAGGGAGGCAAGCATTGCCTACAGGAAATGAGTCAGGAAGTTGTCTCAGGAGCCAAAGTCGAAAAGGACTGAGAGAAGCAAGACCAGCTCCACATGAGATCAGTCCCTTTTCCCTTTCCTTTGTCACCATCACGGCCCCACCACTGACTGACATTCCATATTCATTTATTGATACAAAGAATCCCCGGAATGAGACTCAGCGCCCAGGGAGATCCTTAGACGGGGTCTGGACTGAGACAGGAGGATCCCTTGAGGCCCCGGGATTTGAGGCCAGCATAGTGAGACCCAATTTAAAGCAAAGAACACTTGTTATAGGGTAGGTCAAACATTGTATTGTGAGCTGGCCATCTTGTAACATGGAGGCTTTCTTGAAAATCTCTCAGGCAAGAGTTCTTCCTCAGCTGGACCAACTTCCTCAGCTGAAGTAGTTGCCAGTGAGTCACATGATGCAGTTTCCTCAGAGGGGTTTCTCTAAGCCCCTGGCCTCCTCTCTGGTGCAGATGGACCACCAGAAGCCAACTGCTATCTGTGTATCAGAGACACTGGCTACCCTGTTAGGAATAAACCATCCTCTTGTGGGAGACAAAGCTCATGAGGTTGGTGGTTCTGTCATTTGGGGATGACCCTTCTGGGAGATGAGGCTACCTTGCCAACTGATGTCACTTGGGAGGTGAAAATCTCTTCCCAAGGGTTGGCAACTTTCTGGGACCTCAGATCTTTTTCTTTCAACTCTCTGATATTAAGAATATTTAAATGACCACTGCTGCCCACTGAGTGCCTGTATCCTATCAGGAGACACAAGGGGCTATATTTTAGACACTGTGTCCAGAATGTTGTCTGAGGGGAGATGGAGCATGGCTAGTGAGACTCGGGTGTTGGTCTCCTACCTCTGTGTTTCCTAGGATGTGAGTTCCTGCTAGTAAAATTGGCTATTGCTGGAAAAAGAGAAAAAAAAAAAGACAGCAAGTTTTACTTCAAAATGGGGCCAAAGGAAGCAGAAAAGATATGTGATAGGTAGGGTTTTAGTTGTGGGGGGTGATAGGGGAAGACGGGAGGGGGGGACGACAAGGGAACTGGATTGTCATGTAAAACAATCTTGTTTCTAATTCAAATAAAAAATCTGCAA